CGGTATCAGATCAGGGCTGCGGTTGCGGGTGCGGGGCGCCGTCTGCGCTGTGGGCCCCGTCGCGGAAACCGGAAAGGGCCGCGTAAAAGCGCGCCCCGGTGCGCCCGAGGAGCCGCCAGGCCAAGGCCGGCGCAAGCCTTCCAGCTCGACAGGACTCTTCGCCTGCGCCATGGGTCTCGTTCTCCCAGGCGCTCCGTCGAGAGCCCTCGATCAGGGCTGCGGTTGCGGGTGCGGGGCGCCGTCTGCGCTGTGGGCCCCGTCGCGGAAACCGGAAAGGGCCGCGTAAAAGCGCGCCCCGGTGCGCCCGAGGAGCCGCCAGGCCAAGGCCGGCGCAAGCCTTCCAGCTCGACAGGACTCTTCGCCTGCGCCATGGGTCTCGTTCTCCCAGGCGCTCCGTCGAGAGCCCTCGGGCTCGCCTCCGCCCTATTCGCGAGAGCCCCCCGGAGCGTCTGAAAGGGCGCCCCAGTTTTATGGGGCCCCAACCTTCGCGGCTGCCTCCCACCCGGGTGCCCAATAAACCTGGCCCTTGGGGCGGCTGGCGACGGTTAGGGCCTCCCTGGGTTCCCCTCTCCCGAGAGAGAGCCGCCACCGGCCCTCTCTCCCCTCGGGCCCTCCTGATCCTCAGGGAGCCCGGCGCAGCTGCCCCTCCAGGAATCTGGGGGGGTGGGGGGGTTGTCCTCCTCCTTTCCTTCTTTCCCCCTGCGTGGTTTGGCTGGGGGATTGGCGCCCCAGACGATGGGGGGGCAGGCCCAGCCCTCTGTGCCCCGCAGCCTGTCCGGGGTCTCAGCTACCCCCTCTGGCTGCTGCAGCTGCCCCCGCTATTCGCTATTCGGGGAGGTGTCCGGACAGGGCGGGCGGGGAAGCTTCGTCCTCGCCCAGGTTTCTTGGCGCTCCTCCGTGCTTGGGTGTTCCTGCTGGCAAGGGCCAGCTCGAGGGCTTTTCCCTGGTGGTCCCAACGCCTCTGCCGCCTCCAACGTGACAGGCACTGGCTTCCTTTTCCAAGGGCGTGCAAGGGGTGCTTGGCCCTCGTTAGCCTTCTGGATCATCCGCCGTTTCTCCGCGAGGGACGCTGCTGGCCAGGTCGGTCTAAGGTCCGCACCATTGGCCCACGTCCGTTTTTCGGTTCTCCACTTGGCAAGTCTGTCCGAATGGGTGCCTTTCTTGGGTCGTGGGAAAGGCCCGGCCTTTCGGCGTTCTTGGAGGCCCTCTGCTTCTGTGTCTGCCCACTCCTGCCAGGCGGAGGGGGAAACCACTAACCATCCATGGTTTCCAAGTCATACACCTCCTGCAAGTGCTCTTGTGCGTCTTCAGCCTCTCAAAAGAGCCAACCCTAGTATGGAAAAAGGCGCACCAGCAGCTCCTCCAGACACACTTTAAAAACACAACAGGCAAGGAAACGAATGGAACCAGCCGTTGTGAAGCGGTCAAGGAGGGGCACTTAGAATCCAGGGGAGTGGGAAGGGATGCTCTTCCTCGGCACTCGTGCTTCTTTTCCACCCACCCAGAAACCCAACAGAGCGCCCCCAGGAGGGTTCCCAGCAGGTCCCCCAAAGCAGATATGCCTCCCTCCCTCCCAGGACAGATCCTGACACCTCTCCTAGAGCATCTTGTGCAACAAGGAAACAAACAAGACACACACACACACACAAATGCGGAAGGCACTGCACTCCAGTCTGGAGATCAAGGGCAAGCAGAGATGGTGACTTACGAGGCTCAGGAGAAGTGGGGGCATGACGGAAGGGAGCAGGACTCAGATTGGGAGTGGGGGGATTCGGGGAGCATCCCTGTTGGTGGGGTGCCAGGAAGAGCACCTCCTCCCAGCAAAGGGAAGCTCCCACAAGAGGGCTTGCGAGTAGGATTGCACCAGGACGAAGGGCAGAGCCAGGAGGGTTCCCAGCAGGTCCCCTGAGGGAAGGGGGCATATCTGCTTTGGGGGGGCAAGTGGAGCCCCTCCGCTTACTCTCTGTGCGAAGGACACCAAGAAAGCCCTGAGGCTGGACCCGTCCGAAGCTGCCTCCAGGCAGACGGATGACCCACCCACACAACACGGTGAGGCAGTGAACCCCCCCCCCGCCCCATCCAGGTGCTTTGACCTCTCCTGCATCTCACATCCTTCTGGCCACAGGAATATCCTTTTTGGGCTCTGGAAGAATGGGTTCCCAGCCATCTTCCTCCACGTCACTCATGACCTCCTAAGTGCTGATTAAGGCTTCCTTCTTCCATTGAAAACATGCTTTTTCCCTTTAAAAAAGTTATACATTTTACCATCTTTCCTTTTAGTTTTTTCTTCCACTGTGGCAAAACTCTGCAGAAAACTCTGCAAACTAGAACAGCTCAGGTGCCAGCGTCACTGGATAGCGTGAGGCTCCATTGCACAACCCACGTCCCCCGGAAGGTGGATAGCAGCCCAGGGGAAATTTTCCTGGGAAAGGAGCTTCGCCAGCCTGCAGCAGCCACGACGTGGAGTCCCCACAAAGAAAGCTGCCCCTGCCCCTTGCTAAGGGTTGCCTCAACATCCCCTTACAACATCAAAGCACCAGCAGCAAAGGGGGGGGGGAATGCACGCCCCCCACCCCCAAACAAGCAGATGAGGGGCCGCCATTCCTATTGTGCAAAGGGCCCGCTGGGTCTGGTTCTTACCCAGCCAAATCATCCTTCATGCCACTTTTGCCCTTTCATGTTCAAAACTGGCACTAAGACACATCTGATTGTCAGGTAGCCCCTTCACAGCATGCTTTCCCTCACCCTCGTGGACAAGAACAACACCGGTGCCCACCCAGATGCCAGCTAAAACCACCAGAATGGCTGATCAATGGCCTAGCCTCATCTAGGCCAGCCGGAGCTCCTCTCCTACGGGCCTTGGGGGAGCAGACCTCTCCTGACTCCGAGGCATCAACACGTGAAATTAAAATGCAGTGGCCTAGAAAGAACACCAAGGCAAACCTAGCTGGCCTCCCTGCCTACTCTCACTGGGGGTGGGGGTGAAGAGTCAGCCATGCCACCCTGGCAAGCACCCAACCATCGGAACGCAGCCTGAAGGGCCCTGCCTAAGCAGAAAATGAGCTGGAGGTCTCTGGGCCCCCCACTGACCGTTCTCAAGGGCGGTCCGGCCTGTTGTGGCAGGAGTGCAAGCAGCCCTGCCAGGAACCACGGAGGCCAGATGGGAACCTATCAGGATCAGAAGCGTTTACCATGTGGCAGAAGGCACACCCTCCAGACCTGGAAGGCGGGATGTTTAGCTGCAAAGTCCTTGGCTTCCACCACCCAAAGGACGGACGGACTGCCTGCCTGCCTGCCTGCCTGGTGTGATACAGGGCTTGTGCTTGGCCAGAAACCATCCCGCTCCTAGGAAGGCCACCGGCAGCACCCAAGAGGACCCCCAAGGGCTGGTGGTGGGTTTGGTCAGGCTTCCCCTCTCCCTCCCTCCCTCCCTCCCTCCCTGGGGCTGCCGCCTGAATGCAGCACAGGCAAGCCCGCTGAGAGGAGCCAGGCAGCCAGCCGCTGAGCGGAGCGACCATTGTCCACCAGCCCTTTATTCCTCCCGAGCTCATATTCGGCACCAACAGAAGAGCAGGGCTCTTGGAAACGAACGTCCCAGGAGCAGTGGCTCTGGCCCCAGCGGCTGACCCGGGAAGTCTTTCTGCTTGCCGCTGTCACCGCACAGAGCCTGGGTTAGAAATGCATTATGTATGCCAGTATCAGCCAAGCAGGCTCTTTTGTTGGGGCTGAATATGGCGTGGCTGACAAAAGTAGACTGGATTAGCCACAGTGGATTAAAAGATTTTCTTCTTAAGAGTTTACCCCTCATAATGCAACAATTGCCCGAGAAGGTCCCTTTGAAGCCCACACAACTCTTGTTATTTTGCCATCTGTGAGTTTGCTTTCCTTTACCAGATGCAGCCACGACAGGGGGAGCTGGCCGGCCGGCCGAGTGCTGGATTTGGGCTGCCAGCATGCAGGCCTCATCCGGCAGAAAGCAAAAGGAGGAGGCAGCCCTGCGAGTAAGGCAGGAAGCCTCTCCACTGGGAGAGGCACCAGCCAAGGGGGACATCATCAAGGGCCCCAAACCCCAGCCCGCTTTGGGAGGTAAGACAGCCGGCCACTCAGGGGCGTCCATTGACAGTGTCCTTTGACTATGACAATGGCCAGACAAGGAATGGAGCTGCCAGGCTATTCAGAAGCCACTAAAAGCGATGGACGGAGCATTTCTATCGGAGAGCAAAGTTAGGTTTCAACCCTTGGGCTCTTTCGCCTCCACAAACCCCGACCTGCTCGGTCTGGAGAAGTTTCCTGGCCTCTACTCCCGCTTCCAGCTTCAGGCTTCCCGTGCGGCCTTGCGCGCTGCAGAACCCTGGCTTAAGACGGCTCCCCTGCTAGGGCCACCACAGGCAGAGAAGCGGGGAGCCCTGGCAGCTCCCCGGGAGAAGAGCCCCCTTCTCGCCCAGTGCGTGCCTCCTGCGGATCTGACACCGTCACCCGTGGCCCCTCCCCACCACCAGCAACACAACAGCCGCGCCCCCCCCCGAGCACCCCACTCCATCGC